AATTATGATTTTTTTATTTATTTATTTATTTTTCTTTTGTATTTTGCTTGGTGTAGATTCTTTTTTCTTTTTTTTTTTACCTAGCTTTGTTTTTTAACACTCAATGGCTGAAGGAGGAGGAGAAACGGATTTGTGAGTTGGGATTTAACCATTGGATTAAACTCTTTGTCAACAAAGAAAGGAGGATGAACTTTGTCTTTTAGTGATCAGCATTTGGTAAGTCAACTGCATTTGTTTTTTTACATCTAATATCTGAATTGGCCCTCGAGTGTGTAGCAGAATGCTTGTTCTGCTGCTGTTTTCCTGTTAAGCTAGTTTAGCGTAGCCTCGTGCGGTCCCTCAGCTGTTTTTTGTTTTGTTTTTTTTTGGTCTGGTTCAGAGGTCACACAGCCAGTTGTCTCCTACGTGAGCGCAGAAAACATTATATTTCCTACAATTTAAGCTGTGGCGCCATCATGAGGTTATTAGGAGGTGTTTCAGCTGCAGGACACCAGTGAAGGCCCAGGTATAAGATGCACGGCCCGCCACTGAAAGCTGTGCATGACAGTACTTACTGTAAGCGACTACAGGTGTTCACTTTTGGGTGGTTGGGAAGGTTTGGTCCGTTCTTGTTCTTATTCTCTCAATTTAGTTTTTCTTCGGGGTGCACCGATACGGATATCGGATATCAGGCTGATACCAACTCAGATAGCTGGATTGAGCCGATCTGTTCTGGAATTTTAATTCCTGTTTAAGTTTTGACTCATTTGTTGCTGGGTTAAAAAGGCTTCCCACTTGAATTGTAATTCCTGTCAGTTTTGTCAGATTAGTTACTTTTGTATTATTTTTTTATTTTCATAATGAATAACAATTCACTAAGTTTATATCTTTGTTTTTATTTGTTACATTTTGTTTTACAAAGTTAGGAAAGCAATGTTTGAGTTCAAGCCCGATGTTGCCTTACACACAACAGAATGATCCCAGTCACTTCCACACAGTGAGGCACACAGCCTATCATTATGACTTTTTAATGACTTTTATAGACATACTATACTATGACTTTTTCACTTTAAAGTGATACTATACTATCACTTTAAAGGAAAAAGAGACGACTGCCAATTTGAATGTGTTCTATTGTGTCAATAACAATATAATTGTTATAGTGGAGCTGATTAGCAGAAGGTGAAATGGGTGGATGAGATGTGTTCAGGGGAAATGGTATATTCTCTGTGATAAAGATCAAACAGAGACTGCACAGTGTGTGTGTGTGTGTAAACTAGTGTTTTACATTCCCAGACATACACGCATACAACATTAAGCTCCTGCATAGAGCCGTGTGCTTCTTTAGCACTTTTTAGACTAATCAGACAGCAGTACAACATGTATCTAGAATTGGTTTCTTGTGTTGGTCATCCTTAAGGTCCCTCTCATCTACTCTGACCTCAAACTGTCACTGGCAGCTAAGATGGCCCTTCTTCACATATAAATTAAATCCTATTTTAAAGTATGACACTTTCTGTTAGACGCTTGCTTGGCTGTTAGAATGAGGAGTAGAATCAGGTGAATTCCTGTGTGTTGTCTTGGACCATGATCGATTGAAACGCTTTAGTCCAGTCCGCAACTGCAGTGTGACAGCTGTCTATCTGAAACGCCCCTACATGTTGATTATGACAACAAAGAGTTACTTAAAAAATGTGAGAAAGCGTTATGCTTGCTTACATCGCTGAGCCTATAACATTCAAATGACACAGACCTGCTTTTTTGTGTTTTGACTGGTTATTAATAAAATCATTTGATAAATATTACTTCCAAGCTAGTTTGGCTATCTACCTATGTAAGAACCGTCCTTCCTTTTACCATTGCACACCATTGATTTAATCAGGCCATCGCTCACAAATTTGTCATTTGTACAGAATGCAGAATTTTAGCCTTTTGTACAAGATTTCAAAACATGCATTTTTTTTTTTTATCTGCAAGATAAAGGCAACTGTTAATTTTTGTTCTGTGGTGGCCACCAAAGTAAAAGTTCTACATTATACTGTTGCTTGGTATAATTCTATTCATATTTTCTTTGCCACCTCTTACTTTTGGGGCCCACAGCTACAAAGTGGGCTTAGAAGAAACACTGCTGTCCACACTGTGTACTGAGCCATGGCTTGGCAGGAGTGTGAAAATTGAGAAGAGCTTTAGTCAAAATGCCAGTCTACAGATCACTAAAAGCTTTCCACTCAGGGTTTCACTGGGCTTTTAGAGAGGCTTAGGTGGTAACATTGCCAGTGGGGTGGGTGGTGCACTGGGAAATGGTGCTTGAAACTCCCTAAGAGCACGGAAAAACCTTTTGAAGGAAATTGTTTAATAAGGAAGAATAAGAATGAAACTTCCTCATAGAAGAGCTATAACATATTTAACTGTACATTTCATTTAATAGTCAGGCAAAACACTTTTAGCACTTCTATAGGGAATGATGACGTACATGGACAAATATACAGCCATCAGTTTGGTCAAAAATGATAAAAGTCACAAGAACACTGTAGCTAAAATACTATGTTATGTGGAGCAATTGCATGTAAAAATAGGGTTAGTGCCTGTTGTTAGAGTCGTAGCTTTGCAAGAATGTTGCAGGAGCAAACGGCATGCAACCAGGCCAGGTACTAATGGAGCCATGCATAGTGGCAGGGAACACAGGTGGTGCAGGGGTCAGATTCAATATCCAGACTGGCCCAGGATTGAACCCTGCTGAACCCATTTCTCCTTCCATTTTCAGCTTCAATCTTAACGTGACAGAGTTTGAATTTGCAGGAAGGAAGAGCAAGATGACAGAAACAAAAAAAATCAGAGCAATGATGAACAGGTGTGTATCAAACGGATGTCCTGTCGCTTAGGTTTGCATGATTGTGGGAATAGTTGCATCCCAGTTATTTGTTGTTACAGTGATCACAATTGTTGAAGGAACATTTGACTTAAGCTTATGTGTTATGTGCTCTGTATATACGTCTGTCTGTCCTTCAATTTTCTGGCAACCATTCATGGAACGACTTCACAATTGGCGGGTTTATTGCTGAGGACCCAGGGACGTACAGTGTTGTGTGCGAGGTCTTGAGATTTTGTTTTGAGGGAGGACCGCTATTAACTGTTACACTGCTGAATGGCATGCTGGGTACAGCTCACTCTCCTGTACTGTAAAGTGCTTTAGTTAAAAGCCCTCACAAAATGCATATGCTCTGTATGAAGTGAGGAGCATAGGTATAGTTTAAAGTAGTCATTTTCTTTCCTCTGGACTTGGTGGACACAGTCCAAATGAGACTAGTTATCAACACCAAAGGATTTCTTTAACTCTTTTTTCCCTTCTCAAGAACTCTGAAGTTAATAAACTGGCTAAAATAGACAAAGAGGTAAAGGAAAGGAGGAGGTAAAAATACAGATAGACGGGGAAATGGAAAAACAGAGGGAAAGTGTTTGTGAAAGCTAACAAAGGGGAGTTGGCTGTGTTTCAAAAGGGCGCGTGGCGGCTAAGGAGGATGAAGCGCTTCAGGGTTCATTTACATCAGGCCTGACAACTGCCTCACATCTCCCCAAGAGCCACACAGCTCCGGCTTAGAGATTCTAAAGAGGGCCCTTCTTCTAGCTCCCTCTCTTACACCCGCTCTCTGACTTTTCTTTTTCTCCCTCCTGTCTCTTTTTTCTCTTTCCTTTTTTCCACTCAAATTCTCTCCTGCGCTCTCTCTTCTGCTCTCATGCGCTTGCTAGTCTTCAATCAGCCATCATGAAAGTGTCTGTCTGGGCGTCTTAACTATCCTCTGAGAGGCAGACACTTGTCTGGGCCTGCCTTCATCCCCTAAAGGCGTTTTTTGACTTGGACTTATTTCCCTCCTCACACCTTTTCAACTTCCCTAAAGAGCTGACAACAAGTGAGAGCGACAGGGCAAGATAAACATGAGGGAAAGAGACAGCGAGGGAGATGAGCTGGGGAAGTCGTCGACTGAGAGGGAAGAGAAAGTAAAGATGGTTATGAAAAATATGGAGAGAGAGGGAGCAAATGAAAACGAGGTAAGGGAAGTCAAAAACTGAAGTAAAAAAAAGTGAAGGAATCAAATGACCTCGCGAGCAGGAGAAAGGACAAAGCAAGAAGGACCAGAGCAGAAGAGAGACGGGAAAGATGAAGAAGGAGAGGGGGACTAGGGAAGTAAGACAGGGAGAGTCACGTTTATCAGTGCTTCCACAGTGTGTTTCCCAAACGCAGGATTTAGAGATGGGGTAAAGGGAGAGAGTAGGACAGGGTATATGAAAGTTTTTTTTTTTAGGAGGGAGAGCCCCTCTTATGGAAGTATCTTTCTTTTCGCCTGGGTTTGATGTGAAAGGGAGCTGCTCCTGCTTTGACGATGTTGTCTGCCGTGCAGTTTTTAATATTCATGCAGCCGATCGGGAAAGGAGTGGAGGGGAGATTTTTGGTCAAACAGAAAGCTAATTTGCGGCTGAGGCAGTTTAGCCCGAGGCTCTTTCTGCTACTGGGGAAATGAGCTGGAAGATTAGCCGTATGTATAATTCACACACACATGGTCACACCCGCACATAGATATGCAGAAACACACCGATGGAGCGTGCATACACTTTTGTAGAAAGATGCACATATGCACACTTAGAGCAGCTGCCGCTCTCTCTGAGACGGTGTGTTTTACAGCAGTAACCTGCTGCTAGGCCTTTACTGCCTCACATATACATTGAGACGCTCAACGGTATCCAATGATGATTTATGTAAATGCTGATTTATTAATTGATCATCCCTGCACTTGAAAACCTGGTGTACAGTTTACATGGATGCTATTAGACAAAATCAACAACGTTTTTTGAACTTTTCTTGGACAAAAAAAAATGTGACTGCTCGGGCCTTCCTCATCCTAATCAAACGTTGGCGCTCCTCTGAAAAGAGAAGCAATGTGATGTGTTGGTTATTGTTATTTGATTAGTTGACATAGTGTAGCATTTACAATATGATGACATTTTTCGATTTGCTCCCACAGAAAATGAAGTCTGTTCCCTGCATTAAGCTGAAAATACACACAGTGAAGCTGGTCAGCACAAATGTAGGTCTCACTCTGACTGATTTTCAGGTCCACGACAGACGTGCGAGTCTATTCCTGGATGGGCTTGAGGAGGATGGGACACCATTTGGCACACAACCTCTGACCGCCGGGCTCCCTGATATCAGCGAGGATGGTGCAATGTGGGTGGGACTCAGCTCCAACGGTAAAGTTTCCTGTTTTTTTTTTTTCTTCACATGTGACAAGTTACATTGTTTGAGAGATGCAATAGATCAAGATGCTCGATACCTCAACGGCACTGCATTAAAATATCTCCCAAACGTAGCAGAATTATAAACCAATTATAAAAGAATGTAGTGATATATTCACTTAAAATGCAGCAGAAAACTCAAATAGCAGGGGAGGACATTTGTTTTCATACAACCCTCCTCCTTAAAAGGGACTTTAGTCTCTTTTTTTCCCTCCTTGTGGAGAAAAATTACCTCTTAGTTTATCTTCTCTGTATATCTAAATATGGTGTCAATGACTACTTCACCTTTATCCTCCTCCCAGCCTTTATCCCCCTTCAACTACACATCTGTGATTGATTGGTGGTGCCTGGGAGCCGTCTCACAGTCAATAGGGGAGAAATTGAGAGAAAAATGATATCCGTTCATCTCCAGAGTGATAAACGAGTGTTTTTCTTCTCGTTTATCAGGCATTGATCCCTAGTTCACGGCAGGTAGCATCTGATCATCTGAAGATCACATCAGTGGTTGTGATCAATGCAAGTGATTGGCTTGAGGGAGAGAGAGAGAGTGTGTGTGTGTGTGTGTGTGTGTGTGTGTGTGTGTGTGTGTGTGTGTTTTGAACCTGGGGCCTGTGTCTGGAATTCTGATCAGTGGATTGATTATGCGAATGCTGATCAGATGTATTGATTAACAACAATGTCTGTGATTTGAGGGGACCCTGCTTACTGAAACCTGTGTTTCTGATAAGTGCAGCGAGAAGTTGTCAAGAGCAGAGCAGAGCTTTAAATGTCAACAGATAACATGATCGGTTTTAACAATGGTAGTAATAACCGATCATTAGGAACTTCGAAGAGAGAGTTTTTGATTATTTGTGGTCTGTATTTTTTCGGCAATAGCCATTCTATGTTTTCCATCCTGTAATTAGCTGTTGCTCATGCCATGATGGACACCACACCAGTGAAGGCCAGAGAGAAAAGAAACAACACAAAAGGCTCCCACAACTCCTAGTAGCCTGTATTAACTGTCATCAGTTCGAACAACACAAAAACACAGAGGGGGAAACTGAGAGCGACGGATGACAGAAACTGAAACATAGAGAGAGAAGACAGAGACCTGCACTGAGAAGAGAGAATTAAAGCTTATACCTTGCATCATCCCAGTAACAATAGGGAGAGTGCTTTTCAGAGGAAGGCATAATCCCATTTCCACACGCTAAAGAAATCCTGAGCCAAAGCCTAAGGCTGCACAACCACACACTGTTCGAACACACTTACATCCCATAACACACTCTCTCTGTTTTACACACTCATACATCCCTCCAACACACACACACACACACACGCTCACACACACACACACACGCACACACACACACACACACACACACACACACACACACACACACACACTCACACTGTAGTTGGGCCAAACATGGCAAAGCCTCTCTCAAATGCAAATACACACACTCATGCAAACACAATCATCCACTTCCTTTCTCTAAAGTGAGGATGCTTTTTTGGAAAACACACAGTAAAGCCTCCAACACACACACACACACACACACACACCTTCATATAAAAAGCTAGACATGGCAGGGGTTCTGTCGATGCTAAGAGACGTTATCCGTCTTCTAAGAGTTGTTGTCAAACTAGATGGAAGTTTGTTGGACACTAAAAGACTCCGGCTCTCTTTGGGCCAGAATCCACATCTTATGTTCTGTCCAACATTGTCACGTATGTATGGTTATGTGTGGAGATGAGTTGGGGGCTTGCCTGTGTTCATTTAGGCGTTTGATGGTGTTTCTTGTGTGCAGCCCAGTATCCACATGTGTGTCTGGATTTTGTACCCATATGTTTGAGAAATTCCAGTTTGTGTTTGCTTGAGACTTTGGTATCTTGGCATATGGTATGTATGTTTCATCTCTTGTCCAACATATTTGCATTTACCTTTTTGCAGATCCTTTCTTCTCAACATCAGCCGGGCAGCTTCTCTGGGGTTCTCGCCTTCTGTTTTCCTGCTAAATTATATGTTGTCATTTAATAAACCATCTTATACTTTTATTATCGTTGAAAAAGAACAATTTTGATTCTTCAAGAAAAATGCCCCAAATTAGCTTGTTCCAGTCTCTCATATATGGACATTTTCATAATTTCCCGAATACTTGTTTCCTACTTTGAAGACATCATTCTGGGCTCTGTGTGATGGGCATTTCTTATAGACCACACAATATATCAGTGAATCAACAGTGTATTTGGCAGATTATCCAACAATGAAAATAATAGTTATTTGGATTTAAATCCACCTGAATGTATCGACATAAAATGTCCAGAACAGACATAGGTTTTGAATAAAGGACCATCTACAGAAAAGACACAGTTAAAAGAAGGAGCGAGGAAACACACTTTGGGTTCATCTTTCTTTATCTTTCTGTCTAACTTTGTTATCCCTAGAGCCTAGACAGACCTGGTTTGGCCCCGGCCTCAAACCAAGCTAATGAATTTGTCCTTCTAAGCCCTTCTGCTCTCTAGTGGAAGCAAATGTAGACTGTGGCCGATCCTGTTTGTATCATGAACTTGCCCCATTATAAGCAGCTGTGGGCAGCCGCACTCAGCTGCTATCAAGAAACTGATAAGATAATCTACTAAACACTGTGAAATCCTCTCACTCACTGCCTTCAGTACAAACCCATTAACACCCTCTTTATGTTCTTTTCTCCTCTCTCTTCATCTCTACAGGGTCTAATCAGTTCATTGGACGGATGCAGGACTTTAGATTTTATCCTGCCACTCTGACCAACAGGTGAGTTGGATAGGGTAAGTCGGCCGGACTGGGAATGAGCAGCTATGGGGAGAGAGAGGGAAAGGAATCAAAAGAGGGCCAAAGAATAGTATAATGAAAGGTTAGAAGATAAGGAAGGTAACCATGATTGACAAAGGAAAAGGAGGGAAAATGGTAGCTATGGACAGATTAAATAAAGGGCAGAAGGGATAGAAATGAGGAGAAATAGACAGAGGTACTGTATAGATTAAAGCCGCACGGAAAGGGGAGCTGTATGGAGCGATAAAGGGAAAGATGGTAAGAGGAAGGAAGTGGAAGGCTAATCGTTGCATCTTAAGATCCATACTGCTTCCAGAGGATTTTCCTGAGAATTCAATACAAGGCAATTAGTGTTATGCTTACTGGTGATGTACTGCACACAGTAAGGACTTGGAGCTTACAAGTTTCTCTCATCAAGATTGGGTTAGGACAAAATGAAAGATTGAGTTTCCTTTGATTTTCCAGTTTGCACTAAATGTTTAGTCAAAGGCCTGTCAACAGGTCTTGAGATTGTATCTCAAAATGTTAGAAGTTATAAAAAAAGCCATGTTTGGTCGCTGTCATTGTTGTTCATCCTCTTGATCACTGCACAGTTGAAATTGTATTAAGAATCCATACCCCATATTTTGGGAATCCTTGTGTTTTTTTCTTTTTCTTTTGATGCTTTAAATGTTTTTAATTTATTAGATGTTTGGTGCCTGGTGCCTTCCTCGTCCCAGTTTACTACGCATATGATTATATTTTGCTTCAGTGTTGTATTATAGTTCGATATAATCTGCTGTTTCTTGTTTTAACAGGGAAATAGTGGAGGTGTACTCGGGGGCTCTGCCTGATCTCCATGCCCAGTCAGAGTGTCGCTGTCCTCCCAGTCACCCCAAAGTACACCCTTTAGTTGAGAGGTAAGGTATCATAACTTCTAACGTATATATATATAAAAGTGAACTATATATTTAAACATTTCCATAGTGTACATTCTTTTGTATGTTGATGAGTCTGCCCTATGTTATTTCTTAATGTCTCTCTTAACACTTAACACTAACATACAGTTGAGATACTTTCTCCATTAACAGATACTGCATTCCCAATGGTGTTGAGGACACCACCAATGATAGAGTCTTAAGACTCAACCTTAATGCCCATCCACTAAGTTACATCAATGATCAGGACATGGGCACCACATGGCTTTCTAAGATCATGACCACACAGGAACTGGATGAAGGAGTCACTATTACCGTGGATTTGGCGAATGGACAATATCAGGTAACACATCCACACACACACACGCAACCAAACACAAACACACATTCTTGTTTTTCAACGATACTGACGGACTGATGGATAGATGGGCAATGTAAGCGACAAATACAAAAAAATAACTGGTCTATCTAAGTTCAGTTAATATCTACACATACATACACACAGTACATATCTACCGGACAGAAGAAAATTCATTTTATATGATATATATGAAACAGATTTATTCATTAAGGTTGGTCCATGCAATATTTACACTCAATATTCAATTGGGAATGAATGCACAGTGTTGTAAACTTCTTGCCTTTATTTGGTCATCCGATGATAAATTAATGCACCAACATATGCAATCATGTTAAAGTACAGTATGTGTGAGGTGTTAATTAGCAGAATGTATGATTTAGAGGGCTAGAAGTTGCAATCAATATCTACAATTAATTTCATCCTTTTTATGTCACAAGATCCACGAGAAATCGTGGTCCAGGTTTTGGGCCAATGTCGTATCACATGTTTTGACCCAGTCGCATCAGCAGAAATGTGGGTTATTCTAGGTCATTGTATCTAAATAGTGTATCAGCTCGCTACCTGCTCATTCATTGTTCATTACTTTGGGTTAGACAGTCAACTGAAGTCCTTTTGTTGTGGAGTGTACAGTTGGAACGCTGTACAGCATCTATCTGCTTGCATGTGCAGTGAACAGTGGTTTCATCCTCTTTCTAAGCACTGCAGTGTGACAGACAGGAGGGCAGAGGGAGTGAGAGATATTGCTGGATTTGGCCGTTGTCGACACTGGGCCAAAATACTCGTCCCTCTTTTCTCTGAAGTGTGTATGTGAGTGTGGGCAGGATTTTGGGAGCTATCAGGACGTGGTAGCTCAACTCAAGTCCCCAGATAAAAGACACTTTCTGAAGTCCTGGTTGTGTGTGTGTGTGTGTGTGTGCGGGGGGGGGGGTTCGCGCTGCGCAGTGGTTGTGGCTTAATGCGCTCCCTGCTGTGTAACCCAGTGTCCCAGCCCACACTGTAGTGGGGCAGATAACACTTAACACACATACCCACACAGACACGCGCAGGGTTTATGTGTTGTAGGAAACTACTTGTGTGTCTGTGTTTGTGTAAATATGTGTCTCTTCGTTGTGTGAGGGCTGTCTGTTTTCAATTAAAACCCTTAATTATAATTTTAGGTCGTCCATACACAAACACAATAAATGACTTATGAGCAAAATTACGTTTTTACCATTTGTAAGACTGCACAAGTCCTGCTTTCAAAATGTGATTCATATCAACAGTCAGTAACTGACCAATATGTTTTAGTGTTTTGTCCATATCGTTACAAATTAGCAACATGTCTTTATATAATGTGATGCGAAACACATTTCTTACTATGACCTTGAAAATGACAATAGAGATGAATAAATATGTCTGACACAGTATCAACAAAAACTGTACTCCATCATGGAAAGCTGTATCACATGCCTGTTATGGGTTGCAGTGCATTGTACAGGTGTATTTGTACTTGTATTTCTTCTTGTTCTTCTTGTTCTTCTTTGGGGGCGACCGTGGCTTACTGGGTAGAGAGGGTTGTCCGCCAACCGAAACGTCACCGGTTCGATCCTCGTCTGCACCGTGTCCTGTGTCGAAGTGTCCCTGAGCAAGACAGTGCACCCCTAACTGCTCCCCGGGCGCCTGTCATTGGCAGCCCACTGCTCCCTATATATACAGGGATGGGTCAAATGCAGAGAATAATTTCCCCACTGTGGGACTAATAAAGGAATGTTTCTTCTTCTTCTTCTTCTATTGCAAATCTAACATATACCCCCCTCTCCTCCAGATATTCTATGTTATACTACAGTTTGGTGCGCTCTTGCCTGAGTCAGTGCTGATCCAAAGACGAACGCTTGACGTCACAGAGCTTGAGAGTGGCACCTCTACTCAACAGCCCTGGTTGGACTGGCAATATATGGCCACAAACTGCAGTGTGTTTGAAATGCAAAACAACGGGCCTTTACTGAGACCAGACTCCGTCAACTGTCTGCAGCTGCCCAGGTAAGGTACCATGTGTGAATGGCTGAGCGCGGTGGAAAATAGCCAGTATTATTGGCCTTACTGTTAAAAGAAAAACAAATATTGTATACTGTCGATATTTTTTAGTTTACAGTTTACACAATCTGAGAAAATAATTTAAAAAGCCCAAAATGCTTTTCTTATCTACTGATATGCTAACACACTCATACGAACACTCATATGAACACACTAAGATGATTATATGTGTATTCCAAAAAAAAGAAGACACAAAATTTTACACTTTAGCCCTCTGAACCCGAAATCTGCCGACGGGATGGAAAAGCATCTTCTTTAAATAATCGCCCAAACTACACCGCTTGTCATAGCCAGAAGGTGTGAAAACTGTCATAATCGTCAGATTTTAATCTTCCGAAGGTCCTTGAACACATCATATGCGAGGAACGCTACCAAAAGCAACCAAAACTAAGCTTAAAATGATATTTAATCAAAGATATTTTATTCTACATGACTCATTTTAAATATCGCCCCGAACAAACCGTTTGAAGTAACCAGATACCGTAAAAAGCATTTAATTCTGCGCTCCTAATCGCAACTAGGAAGCCATGATTGATTGGCTGAGACCAACAGTCCCGTGACAAATATTCCATGAAACTTCGTCTGTACTGCAGGAGAGGCTGTAAGTAGAGATTTAAAAATGTAAAGAGTTCGATGTACATAGCACATATAGCCAACATTGGTAACACTTGTGGGCACTTGGAACAATGTTGGATATATAGATTAAGTTGCGTTTTTTTCTTTTTTATGACATTGTAAATGTGTTATACTGCACAAAATACATTTTTGGGTTCTCTCTACTTGTAGCTATGGTTGTGCTGTTTCCATAGATGAGCATGACTTGTAGTGAAAATCAAGGCCAGAGAGAGAAAACTATTACCTGGAGAGAAAAACGCCCCGAAACTGCTCGGGGTTGTACAAGGTGAAGGATCCTTTGTACTCGCTTTGAAAACCCTCCAAATTGAAGATAACACATATATTTGCTCTGAGCGTAAAATAGGTTGATGAAAACTTTTCATGAACCTTTCTGACTGGACATCAACTGGACAATAGCACATCCAGTGGTTATCAGGTAGGGCAAACATTTATTTAGTCCAGTGACTGTCATCAGTCAGATGAAGGTAAAGACTCTCTGGCCGAATTGATCATCCCATTTGAAACTCTCTTGGATCATCTCAATAAAAATAAACTGAAAATAAACTCTTCAAACAGTCTGTTATTCTTTTTTGGGTATTCTCCCCATAGCAGAGCCACATGTTCTTGCTGCATGCTGTTGGGTGGTCATGGCCTCTTTAAGGCAGAGGAGATTACACAGAAATTACTGGCAAGACTAAATAAAGAAGTATATGAACACACACAAACACATTTAAGCACACATTTATGCACACACACACACACACACACACACACACACACACACACACACACACGTGTGTGTGTGTGTGTTGGTGCATGTACTAACATGCACAAAAGTCAAAATAGATCAATGGAAATCACACACAAAACACGCATGTACAGTTAACACACACACACGCTCTGGCAGGCTCACAGTGACTAGGTTTATAAAGCTACCCACCTACAGCGCTGTATGGGCACAAGACCGCTAACAGGCTTTCATTGGCACTTGATGGAGAACTGGCCTCGGAACATAGTCTCCACATACACACAATCTCACATGCTAAATCTTGGCATAGCTGCTTGTATCAAGGCCTTGTTGGCACTAGATGGAACAGGTATGAGTAGATCACAGATTATGAAGTCATTGCTTATTTTTCACTTGACTGACAAGTGATTGCGCATACTGTGTTAGTTAAATTGGCATGAGAGCAATTGAGCCTCACATTGGCAACATGATAACACACTCTGTGACGTTAGTGGTTGGTAATTTTATCAAAAAGAGCTCTGTCTTTGATCTTGATTTATGTTTTTTTTTCTCGCTAGTTTTATTTAATTACGCAAGAGACATTGCCTCCTCTGAGGCCGCTCGAGTGTCTGGCAAGATAAATTTAGTCACGCCTCAGTCATTTTAGGTGTTTTCATATACCAGTCAATTACAGTACTGCTCCAGGAGAGCTGTTAGTGATCCATTTGCTTCTTGTCTACATGTACAGATAATCAGGTAAACTGGTATTTTTTTGTGAAATAAACTGCATTGCCCAAAGCTAAAAAAAAAAAAAGGCAAGTGAAAGCTGGAACCAAGGGAATTTACAATACAAGCTGATCAATGGCTAACATTAAAGTTGTTCTCATTTCTGTGGTGGAGTCTCGTTTTTCTTTAGCTATAGTCCTCACAATAAAACAAGTATGTGTGGTGTGCAGTGGTATAGTGATCTCTATAAACAGATTCTGCATTCACACATAGAATCTGTAGGAAACTGGACAAGGATTTTTCATCTGAAGTGTTTTCCGATAATCAAGCTTTTACTGGTTTAAAATTTGCTTGTAAACGGGCTACTTGGGGACAAAATGCGATCGTACACGTCTTCTCTTAACTCCAACTGCAGTAAATATGTAAACAATAAGCAATGCATGGACAAGGAAGCCTTGGCCTGGATGTATGCTGGTTTTACCAGAACCCCAATAGAACCGTCAGACAATGGGTTCTGAGATTGGTGGTGAAGTAAATTCAACACTTACACCTGTGAAATTGCTGTTAATTCACAATTCATTTGAGAAAAACAGCTGAATTCAACAAAATGTCTGCAATAGAGCCATTGTACCTTTTGTGGACAAAATTTGTCTTGTTTACGTGATTTTGTTTGGCGTTCAGTGAGTGCAACGCTTTAAACTGCATGGTTTCTCCAGGAAACTGGTTAGCAAAGGTGGTAAGCTGCCATGAGGTGTGTGCAAAGCAAGTTTTATCCCCTTATCAATATGTAAACACTTCAAACAGACACAAAGGATGCAGCGTCAACAGCCTTACATTATGTATAAAACAATACATGTGATATTGTGTACTCTGGGATTATTGTATGCCTAAAGTCAGTCCAACAAACACAGATACATACATATACAAGAGAAGTAGCCTGGATAAGTCTTAGAGCATTGCCTGAAGTCAAAGTAAAGGAGAGATAGGAAGATGGGTAGAGGTCAAAGCATAATAATAGTTGTTTTTGTCTTTGCCATAGCACTTGTTTGCTGTATTCTTTTCAGTACACTATTTACTAGCTGATACTGGACTTTTTTTTTTTTTTTTTACATATAACGTAAATGACTTGATTCTGATCCACTGATTGTTTTCTGTTTTTAGAATAGTTGTGACCTAGGCACAAACCTAGACTAAATGAATGTTTAATGTGTGTTTATGTTTCTTTTGTCCCAGCGATGTTCCCTTCTCAGGCGGTAACATCATATTCAGCCTGCTGACCCCCGAGCCAAACCTCAGGCCAGGCTATAATGACTTCTACAACACTCCTGCCCTGCAGAAGATGGTACATGCCACCCAGGTCAGGATACACCTGAGTGGACAGTCCCACACCGCAGCAACCGGGGTGAACCAGCGACACAGATACTATGCCATCAATGAGGTCACCGTCAGTGGCAGGTGAGGAGTTGCACATATTTATCTCGAGATCCCTCTATGAGGATCTCACCCGTTTCTGAAAGTTGTTAATGGTGTTTGAATTGCAGCCATAGTAAATTATATAATTGAATTGATGAACCTGTGGTGTGTTTTTGAAGAACTTGAATCGCACACAAAGAAGTAGAAATTTGAAATCTCATGCTTCAAATTTAGCTAAATATATCTTTAATATCTTAAAATGTTTCAAAACTGATATTCTGGCTTAACAATGACATATTTCTTTAAGTGTTTACAATAATTCTCATTAATGTAGAAGAACCACCCTATGAAGCAGGATTCCGGTTTTGTTAGTTAATATTCACTCCTGGGACGGATCAGAAGTTCGATTCCCGTCTGGCCCGATCGTTTGCTGCATGTCATTGCTCTGCTCTCTTTACCCATATTCCTGTCTCTCTCCACTGTCGCTGTCACATACAGGCATAAAATAATCTCTAACAGTCCCTCCTGTCACTTGTCAACGGTTTATTTCAATGGCTTAATCGGTTGAAACACTTGAAGATCTTTTCAGTATTGATTTCTTAAAAATGTCTGAGCACAGTTCGACATCTCGAAAGATATTTCAGACTGTTAAGTCTCAGCAGAGCTTTCGGAGAGTAATTGTGAACACATCTCTTCATTAGACTGACAGAGTGACTGTTTTTTATGACTGTGGTAATTACAGGATTATGCAGGAGGCAATCATCTCTAACTCTTTCTCTCCCTCCCCCTCCCTCTAAGCTGTTTTAATTAGTAGCTTGTTACAGTGAAGTAGGAGAAACAGAGATTTAGAGCTGTGTATCCGTCCTCCCTCCCCGTCTCCCCCCTCTCGCTTTCATTCTTCTTCCATCTCTCTATCTCTTCTCTTTTCATTTTTAATGCATGTAAACAATTGTGTTGGCAAGAGAGAGAGCACACTCATAACCTGAGTGTGTGTGTCTTTGTCTGCTCTCATGAGCATCGTTTGTCCTACATGTTAGAACAAAGTCCCTCTCATATTAAATTGCTGCATGATATTGTGGTGCAGAAATGTCATTAAAAATATTCTTTTTCAGAACTCTCTAACCATTAAGTTTAACTATTACGTTTTTTTTGTGATTCCTGTTATTTTCTTATAGATAAACGCATAACTTAAACAAAACTGTTTAAAAATCATTACTTAACCTAACTTTTTTTTACAACAATACATACATTATATCTACAGTATATTAGGGAATTAGTCTTCATATGTGCAATGTGAGTACATTGTAGTCATAATGATGTTGATAATATTAAAATATTAGTGTGGCATATCCAGGCTAGAAGGCTGTTGTTTTATATACAGTGTATTTACCAACAGGCTCTATTTATTATTTACAAGACATCATGTGAAATACATTTAGATATTTTAACACAATTATATAATCAAAATATTCATAATAGGGTATGACATAGCATTTCAGAAGGGAGAAAAGGGTGAAAATGCTACTGGTGCGCTGCTAAGAGTTAACGCCTCAGCTGGCCATGAAGGACTTCTCTGCAACCACATATGAGAACTACTGCACAAAAGACTTTGTCTTATGCTTCAGATTTTATTCAATCTAGCCAATTTGTAACAGAAAGTGGTATGACGAGAACAAGAGGTGTAAGGATATACAGTGGGAAGAATGAAAGGAAGAAAAGCAACTGAATATCTGAATGAATAATTAAGTGTGTGTGTGTGTGTCTGTGTCTGTCTGTCCTGTCCAACAGTGGACCTTTGCAGTGTTGCACATTCACCATCAGTGGCGAGCCAACAGGGGAGTTTTTGGAGGCCCACTATTGATCATGATTTAAATCATGCTTTTTTCACACTCCTCCACAGTGTGAATGGCTTACAGGCCCAGCCAGCCTTTCACACTATACGGGGGCTTTTTAGAGGTGCAGTGAAAACACAATAATTCTTATTTTCAGGTGATTTAACACTAAATATATAAAAGTTAGTAATATTATATTCCATTTCTGCCAATAGACAGCCCTAAAAGCTACACACTGTTCCTTTAACATGCTACATACTGAGGACACCAGTCTTATTATTTAGTAGCCTTTTACAAAAAAAATATAAAGGCTCAACTTTAGTGGCACAGACACTTATCTAGTTTCAAGCTTCACACAGTATTGAAATGAAGGGCTACGAAGAAGGAAATACAATTTTTAAATGTGAAAAAAAGATCATAAAGTCAGAAATAAAAAGGTCAGCGGTAAGATCATTTCTTTTCGTTTGAATTAATCATTATAGTCCACTGTTGTTAATGTAGGAGAGTGTGTGTGTGTGAGAGAGAGAGAGAGACAGGGCTACCTGTTATGTTGCTCTGATAATTCTCAGGATGGCATTTATAAATGTTGAATGGGAACTTCTTAATGGCACTGCAGCAGTTCCATGGAGGAGGTGGCAACCGAAACTTGGATGTGTTTGTTGCTACTTTAGTTTTTTCATTTTCATTGTGATCAGAATTTTGTTTTTTATCAAATTTGTAAAATGCAGTTTTGGGGACCTCTCAGTATCATCTTTCTCTCCTTGTCTCTGTCATCTGGCCAGATGTGAGTGTCACGGCCATGCAGACCACTGTGACACCAGCGTGACGCCCTACCGCTGTCTGTGTCTGCCTGAGAGCCACACGGAGGGAAACCTTGTGAGTACACACAAAGGCTTGTAAACTATTTGTAATATGTACTGTACCTCATTTGTAAGTGTGGTGTTGTATACAGTGGTTGATGTTAAAACACACAAGTTCCACCTTTTTAAACATAAATGTATTACACTGCTTTGCTTTCTCTGGGTATTTTTATTCCCAATTATCAATATTAGTATTAGATCCAGATATTCAGTCTTTTCATTTCATTTTCAAGCACATGAACACTCATAGACACAAACACTGAGCACAGAGGAGCCCTCTGGGGAGAAACTCCTCATGGTCTTAATTAAGCAGTTTCCTTGTTGACGCCATAAAAGGAACACAAACCACATTTATTAGAACTCCTTCCTTGTAAAATGTTATTTTCCTTCGTTTTATTTTAGTTTCTAATTTGCTGAGAAATTGATTAAGTGCCATTATTAACTGGCATGCTTTCGGACACATGCTGTTGACCTGCAGTGCCAGGCGGTTCTGCTTTGAACCTGACATTTTGGACGGCTATCAGTGCGGTCAGACTGCTAAATCAGGCAATACACTTTATGCTGTTAGCGTTGTAAATAACTGACAGCTTACATCAGCCTTGTTGGCACAGGACTGCTGTAAGGGTTGTGTGATTTATGATAACTGAATATGTGGTGTCTCAGACATTTTCAATTAGATTTACAAATTCTCTATTCTAAAACTCTAATGTAGTCTAATAGTCTTCACTTGCTTTTGCATTGACTTGCTTTGTGGCGAAGAAAAGATTCAGTTAAACCTAGAAAGACTGTAACTGAGCTGTCTGAATGCTGATTAAGAAATTTAAATGTTTGTTTTTGTGTTCACAAAATGATATAGTTGGAGAGACAAAGGCCTTGGATTGAAGTCTGTGTAAATTAATGTAATCCTGCGTAAACCAGCTGTTAGTGCATAATTGTTTACACTTGGGCTAAGATATCATGATTGGGTTAATTATTTGGAATTTAAAAGCATCTTTCACACTAGATTGTGTTTGTTTCTGGTCACAGTTACCTCTTGAATATTGTGGCATCACGAGTTAAACCAAAAGTACTCACACAAAGTGAGTATTCACACACCGGTGTGCTGCAGGATGTTGGCTTATAATTTGATTTCAGCCTAGTTTGATGTTAACCATCACCTCAGGCCTTCGCTTGCAACAAAGCTAATGCAACTTGCCAGGTAATAGTAGGCATCACCCCAAAGAAACCTCTAGTCGCTCAGCAGTGAAAAGTTCAGTGTGACTGCTCCACCTCACCGTAGCACAGGACAGCCTGCATTATTCACTACCTATGTATCATTCATACACCCGCGTCTCTCTATTAGTGTGTGTGTGTGTGTGTGTGTGTGTGTGTGTGTGTGTGTGCACGCGCCCATGCGTACGTGCGTGAGTATGTTTCAGACAGAGGCGACAGGACATCGGTCTGTCAACCAGCAGCTGTTCAATTGCTTGTCTTGCGTACTCTCAAACTCAAATGGCAAACACCCTCCTACACACACCCTTCATTTAATAGTTTTTGTCTTATATGAACTCCAGACTAAAATAAAAGTTGTCATAGAAGGCGCTCCTCCCCCCCCCACACACACACAGACACACACAGAGACACAAAATAATTAAACATTGTCAGGTTCATGCTATCTTGCAGACAAAAATATATATATATTCCTGCGCCTCTCTCTGTCTCTTTCTCAGCCTCTATTTCTCTTTTTATTCACCACTTTCCTCTCTCTAGGTCCCTGTCTCACCTCCATCCACTTTTGTTTGTCGATCTCTCTCTCTCTCTCTCTCTCTCTCTCTCTCTCTCTCTTTCTCTCTCTCATACTCTCTCTTTCTCTCTCTCTCTCTCATACTCTGTCTTTCTCTCTTGGGTCTCAGTTTAAATAATGTCTCAAATCGACTACAACAATGACATTCCCTCAGCATGCATCTCTAATCAGCTCTCTTTCTCTCTCTGTTTGTCTTTCTCTTCATTTCACTCAGCCGTTCTCTGCTCCCCCTCACTCTGTTTTGCCTCGCTATTTAAGTATTTCATTCATTCCTGTTTGACTCTGTTTTTCATGCTCCATCCCTCTCTTTCCTCCATTTTCCTTACTGTCTCATGTCTTCCCGTCCTCCAAATCTGTTTCTTTTCTTCTCACACTCGTACGTACAGCAGTTCTTTTGTGTTAGAGAGATGCACTGGAAATAACCAATATAGATATATTTGTGTGTGTGCTTGTGTGTATGTTTTATGTATATTAATCTCTACTTGAGCTACGCTTCTGTGAAAGACTAATGTGTAAAAGTGTGTGTGCCATACGTGTATGTGTCTATCCTTTTGCGTGATCATTTGTGTGTGTGTGTGTGTGTGTGTGCGTGTGTGTGCGTGTGCGTGTGCGTGCGTGTGTGTGTGTGTGTGTGTGTGTGTGTGTGTGTGTGTGTGTGTGTG